GGCTTCTGCTATCTCCACCCACCACTGATACATGGCTGATTATCTCTGCTGTGAAAGCCGTCCTCCGTGCTCAGTTTCTGATCCAGTATGCCGCCAGTGATAACATGTCTTCAAGCTTGGCATTCGGCTACCTTGCTTCCATCATCATCATCACTTTATTGTGGAAACGTTGCTGCAACGGTTCTGGATACTGAGCGATGATAAACTCGTCAGGCAAGCTGGCTATCATGATGCTGCCTTTGTACGGCTGCCAGGTTAGGTTGGAGATATCGGTCGTTCCCTTCACCAACACCGTCGTTGCCAGTTCATTCCAGTGAGCATGTGTACATATCATTGTACGCGTAACAGCAATCAGCAGTTTTTGATTGATCATAAAAATCATGCTCCGCATTGTCCTCACAGACGTTCAGTGAGTCATGCTACCCAGAATGCAGTTCCAGCGGTGCTCATTGATCCGTGTGTCCCACCAATCAAGATATTCATGGCTCTACAGTCTGGTAGGTTGGATTCAGCGCTGAGAGTTCTTTTGACACTTGAAACACAGTTGCGCTTCCAACGGCCGTAAGAGAGTCGCCAGCCACTGGCTATGCAACTCCGTTGTTGTTTTGCTGTGTTGTACGGGCGGAGCACAAAGACGCAGTTGTTACTTTGCTGCAAGCCGCTACTTGCTACGTGTGTCCGCCATTGCATGCCTTTTTTCATAGCTGGCACGTTCCTCAAGAGGCTTATGCTCCTGGACTATCCTTTCTGCTTTCACTCACTGTAATAATCGCTGGCAACCCTGGCCACGTCATTGGCCACAAAGCTCGTAAGCAGTGGTCACTCGTCCCCTGTCCGAAATTTCCAGTCCACTGTCGCATACTCTTGGACGATACTGGTAAGAACGGAACTGCACGGATACCGTAGAGCAACCAGGCACGTGCGCTATTGAGTATTGAAACGTTAGGCAACGATTTAGATCAGTTGACCATTTAGTCACGCACCGCATTTCCATTTGACGTTTGAATGGATTTTCAAAATAATATCCAACAGCCTCAATCCTCCAGTCTCAGGTCCGTGGTCATCGAAATCATGAGGATCAACACTTGTTTTTCTATATTACTGTCTGACTTTATTCAATCTTCGACCATTATCATTGCCAGGATCAACCGTTTACTCGATTCATAAAAATAATCAGGCCACCCAATAATTCGTTGTAACTAATACTAGTATTACTAGTATTAGTTACAACGAATTATTGGGTGGCCTGATTATTTTTAAATAGTAATACTTGTTTCGGGTCACCCGCACAATGTTTTTTTTTTTAATAGTGCATGCACACGTATATGACTAGACTATGACTTGTACCAAGAGTACATTACCCCCCGGGGTTATGTACTCTTGCTTGTACCAACATGTACACACGTACACGCGCCTAATAATACGGTAGCTAGCAGTCCAGACGTCGACCTCAGAAGCAGCCATATAAAATAACAAGATGAAGCGCTTGGTGACGATGTTGTCTTCCGATCCGCCTCCCTCTGAAACAGCATCAGCTCTGCCACCGCGTCGCTCTTTGACAGACGTTTTCAAGGTGAGAGCTACTCCTCAGACTCGTTTGCCAGCGAGGCCAAGGTCTGGTCCTGGAGCAGTGGAGGGGACCTGGGTCTGATGGGACTGCGCTGGATCGTCTACAGTCATGATTTGATCGACTGGCTTGATGGACAAAAGCTATTCGATTTGCACAAAGTATGTCATATACATGGCAGTAACCAAAATATAAAAAAATAAATAAAATAAAAAATATACCCGACCGACCGACGCGATCCTGGTACGGATGAGTGAAATGACCCGAAATTCTAGGTGGCCTCATCTAAATTTTAGATTCTCGGATCAGTCCTAGATCCTTGGCTTATGGCATTTAAAGGGGAAGTATACCCTAAAATCAAATTTTCACCAGTTGTAGTCTTCGGGGTGCCGGTGCTGAGTCGAATGGTCTTGGTCCGAGGAAGCTGAGACGCTCCCTTCCTACTTGAATCCCAATCGAACTCGCGCACTTCCACCGAAACTGGGTGACTGCGCCCTACTAGATGGGGATTTGTATGCAAAATGTCACTAAAAGCGCCATTTCGTTCTTATAAAAGCACGGATGACCGCCATTGGCCCATATGTTGTAGTCTTTTGGACGCTCAGTCGACTGGTTTTGGTCCGAAAAGGCTGCGATGCAGCGTTCCTCCTTTATTCCCAATCGAACATGGTTGAACAAGCGGTCACGTGCTCCTGCGTACACCAGTCACCTGGTCACCGTGCCTGCAGGGTACAACTAAAAAAAACTTACTAGCCTGTTTGACCTTTTTTGGGTGCAGTCCTGTCACTCGAGTTGAACCTTGGTGTGAAAGTTAGTTGTCGCCTGCTGGCGCGGTGACCAGGTGATTTGGGCAACAAGGACCACGTGACCGCTTCTTTAACCATGTTCGATTGGGAATAAAGGAGGAACGCTGCATCGCAGCCTTTTCGGACCAAAACCAGTCGACTCAGCGTCCAAAAGACTACAACATATGGGCCAATCGCGGTCATCCGTGCTTTTATAAGAACGAAATGGCGCTTTTAGTGACATTTTGCATACAAATCCCCATCTAGTAGGTCCTGTGAACATTATTATTATTATTATTATTATTATTATTTAAATTTTGAATAGGGCAATCCCCACAGGCCTAAGGCCTTTTTACAGGGTACCCTATGTGGTCACGTATAGATTTGCGGAATAGTGAAAGCGAGGAGCAAGAGCGAATGTCAGCTGGAAGAGAATTCCAGCGGTCAGAAGCCAGAAAGCTCAAAGCGAATAAGCCATAACGAGTGCGTGCTTTAGGCAGAGCAAGTGAATCTATGGACTGGGAACGTGTATGGGCAGCTGTGCGTGTTGTGGCAGAACGAAGGCAGAAGCAATCAGAGAGCAGAGTGCTACACATGCCACGTATGGCCCGAAAGACAAGAATATACAGTTTAAGCTGATAGCGCAGTGCAATAGGAGCAAGGCCATATCTGGTGTGTAAGACTGAAACATCATAGTGCCAAGGGAAACCAAAAACAATCCTAACAGCGCGGTTAGCAATACGAGTTAGTCTATCATGTTGTGTGGTGTGGAGGCAGTGTACAAACGCATTAGAACCATACTCAAGGTGTGCTTGAATAAATGAGCAGTAGAAGGTCTTTCTCGCAGCCGGTGTCAGATTGTCCCTGATCTTCCGGAACATGGCAAGTTTTGTTCCGACCTTTTTCTCAACTTCAGTGACATATGAGGAGAATGATAGATGTTCGTCAATGGTGAGGCCAAGATACTTCACCGTTGGTGTTGGGGACATGGTGAATGCATTGCGAGAGTTGGCAATCTCGGAGGGCCGGCTGTGAGGTTTTGGAGACGATGGTGGGCAGGACAGTGCCCTTGTGTTTTCCTGGTTTTTTGTTTTTTGTTTGTTTTTGTTTTTGGTGTTTTTTTGTTTTTTGTTTTTTTGTTTCTCGTTTTTGCGTTTTTTCACACATACAATTGTTTTCATTTTTTGGTGTTGTGTTCTAATCATTCGCCATGCCACTGTCAATTGTATTCTGTTTGCCCGTAATAGAGGCCTTTACTTTTGTAAAAATGTAGTAGGGCGCAGTCACCCAGTTTCGGTGGAAGTGCGCGAGTTCGATTGGGATTCAAGTAGGAAGGGAGCGTCTCAGCTTTCTCGGACCAAGACCATTCGACTCAGCACCCCGAAGACTACAACTGGTGAAAATTTGATTTTAGGGTATACTTCCCCTTTAATTTTATGCACTCACATAATCTGAATCTGATCTGCCAAGGAACCGAAAACGACAAAATACGGAGGATAAATTATTTTAGCAAGACGAAATTCGCGTTCGCGTTCGCAAACATTTTTCGATTGCGAACTGTCGCATTTTTCGTTCGGAAAAGTAGTCGGAACATGAATCGCGATTCGTGTCATGTCAGGGCAGTCATAAATTATTTACCACACGCTGTACTGTCTGTACACAATGACGTCATTGATCCGTGTACGCGCTGAGCTGAGGGCGCCGGCCCCGGTCAATCGACTGGATTTCATGTCCGCTACATGTACAGTCAGTAGACCCGGGTGCTCGAATCAGAAACGATTTGACAGGTGTGCAATTTCTCATCTGTAAATCTCAACAATGTCAGAATATACTTTTGGAGAGGCGATGGAACAGGGAAGAGAGTCTGGCTTGACCCACCCAGCAGGAATTCAGAACCTGGGTGCGCTACAACACAGCCTACAGTACGCAGTAAAATTGTCGTATTTCCTTCGGATTATTTATTTGAAAATTGGGTGCTCGAATCAGAAACAGCGAACTCGTCAGATCGTCTCCGATTCAAGCACACAGGTCTACCATCGTCTACGCTTGTTTTGGCAGTTGAGGGCAGGGAGTAGTAACTTACTACTTCGTTTTTGAGAGCAAGATGGTCAGCGGAGCCGCAGATTCAGCAGTTCTTTGGCAGCACCGTACCGTAGACCCACATCCTCGAATCAAGGACCCAACAAAAAGTGGGTCGCGAGTATTTCAAAAACCGTTTACCGGGCAGAGCTGAAATTTGGTATACCGTTAGCGGGCCGTATGTTGATGGTATTTGTGAAAACTAAACGAAATCGGAATAAGTTTAGGTACAATTTCAAGCTGTTTCTGTTTTGGTACCCTGTGTCTCATTCGAGCACCCGGGTCTACGTCGAGTCAACGGCATGCATGCATGTGTGTTTGCTAATCGATCCTTCTTGACTGAGCATGAGCATGAGTTCGACTTTCCTTGGAGAGCGAACGCGAATTTCGTCTTGCTAATCCTCCGTAATTTATGTCAGATCTTTCTTCGTGCACGCATGCGCCGTGGCAACCATGACTGGAGAGTCCGAAACCCCAGCCCAGGATCTCTAGGACATGGCCTAGGCGCGGTAGGCCACCGGCCCAACATCGGTCAAAGCAGTACTGAAGTACCGCACCGTTGACATCTCCTTCGGTTTATTTTTCTAGTGCTGATAGCGAAGAGCGTAGATCTGTGCGAGCTTGATGCTGAACATTTCAAGCGTTATTTTCGAAAGAGTTGTTTGCCTTCATCAAGTTCGCCCTGTACCTGAGCCACAACTGCTGAACGGCTTGTACGTGACAGTTCGTACTTCAGTAGTATTGTTTGAGAAAAGACATTTCTTTGATCCTAAGAAGTTACGTTAGTTATGCAGTAACTCGATGTCGATCGTGATCAGTCCGCATTGCGAGTGAACTGTGGTCACGCGGACAGGCAGGAGTGGGAACAATGGCAGACAGGGTGCGCTATAACATAGCCTTCTTACTTTCCAATCTAGATGCATCCTTGATCTTGGAACTCTTGCTGGAGAATGATGTGCTGGACGTTGATGAATATGATGCTGCCTCCAGCAAGGAAAACGTGAAGTCTGATCTGACAAAGTACGTGGTGAGGCTGATGCTGAAGAAAACGGAGGAACAGGTGGATTCGTTCCTGAAGCTGATTCAACACAGCCAACCGGATGTTGCTAAACATGTCGCCAACACCATGGCAAAGCGACGCGATGCAACTGCCAATGGGGGAACTGACCGTCCGACGAAGACAAGGTCGGCAGATCATGAGCCAACACTTGGCTCGTCCTCCGGTAAGTGTTTACATACACTTGAAGTAGAATATGATCCATACTGGTTTACACACAAAATGACACACACACACATTGCTCTGTACATGTCACTCAGGTACAGTATCACAACAAAGATAATCTGGCGTTATCAGGTGGGGCGTCACTCAGGCATTGTTGGCCAAGTAAGAAAACTCAGAAATGAAACGAACACAAAAGAACACACTTGGGGCGCGTTCGAATTGTCACTCTTTGACTTTTTGAATAGTTTCGTTTTTCTGAAGAGGTGGCCTTATTGGCCTCTTCAGAAAAACGAAGCTCCTCGAAACTCCTCGAAACTCCACAACCTCATCCGATGGGAGAGGTGGATTAGTTCCGAAGAGTTTGGAATAGATGCGTCACGTAGTACGTGGAGATGGTCGAGCTGATCGGACGTCATCATCGCCATGACAATTCCACTGAAAAACTCTAAAATGATAGAAACCGTTCTAATGGGACACTTCAACTAATCTCTTTATAAAATTTGTTTGAACAGTTGATGAAGACAATTCGAACGCGGCCTTAGCTTATCGGCGAATTTTGTTGTTGTGAACCTTGGAAGGCAAAGTCAGTTTACCAATACCTTCAGTATGTGTCTATCAATGACCAGTGCACAGTGGACAGATAGTAGGTAGGTGCATGGGTGGGTAGGTGGGTGGGTAGGTAGGTGGGTGGGTGGGTGGGTAGGTAGTTAGGTGGGTGGGTGGGTACGTAGGCAGGTGGGTGGATGGGTAGAGAGGTGGGTGGGTGGGTGGGTGGGTAGATAGGTGGGTGGGTGGGTAGATAGGTGGGTAGGTAGGCGGGTGGGTGAGTGGGTAGATAGGTGGGTGGGTTGGTGGGTAGGGCAGATAGGTAGGTAGGTAGGTGGGTGGGTGGATAGGTAGGTAGGTTTTATTGTTTTACTAGGGGACTCCCAACAGGCCAAGGCATTTTACAAGTAACCTAGGAAAAGCCGGATTTGGTCTGTAATACAATCCCAGGAAAAGATACAGCTTGGCGGCATTGGTAGGATACCGTGTTACTCCACCCGAATATTCACAAGTAGTTCACAATCACACGTGTATACAGGTATTTGTATTTTAATTTTTCCACATCCCGTAGCATGTACTTCAAAATAGTTTCCAATCAAAGAGGAGGGGGTGGAACCCAACCATGGGTGAGAAGCATAAAGAAAATAAATTAATGAGAAAGAAAAGGTGTATGCGTTCACAGTACACACTGCACTGGTACGGCAACTGCTGTATGTATCACTACGGGATCGTGTTTGATTGGGAATAGGAACCGTACGCTGTTCAGCAAGCATCCTCAGACCAAGACCATACAACTTAAAGTACAGAATGCTACAGGTTCTGAGAGTTCAAGCACATCATCGGTTTCTATAAATATGAAGAGGAGCTTTCTTTGGAAATATCCACGCAACTCACTATATCTACTAATACGGTGTAGTCGAGAGCATTCTTCCAACATTGGGGAAAGTGTATTACGGTGTAAGTTCAACTGGGGCCATACACCCTCCCTTTCTTGTATTGGCTATGTATTATTATGTGCCATGAAGTGGAGACGATAAATAAATTTAAAAAATATAAGTCCATCCTTTTAAAGAGAGAGAGTTTCAAAAACTGTAATAGATTTGTGGTGGGCGGCAGATCATCTCTAAGTGTTAGTAATCCCAAGATCCTTTGCATACAGAAATGTGCGCCTACTGGTCATTTCACTTAGGCATACCACAGACCCAAAGCACAGACACATCAGGATGATGGAATACTCAGGTCTGGTATAGAAAGATTTCAGAAGCAAGAAGTAAAACTAAGAAAAAAACTACAAAAGCCAAACCCAGGTCAAACAGACAATTTTGCTTGAGCGGTAGTGGAGCCCCTATAAACAAAGCCTGTTGAAGCTCCAGTAAAACGGTAACCTGTCAAGGCGACCACTCGGAAAAGGAAACCACCTGTCCCAGACGACCACTTCAGCCAGGACCAAGGAATGCTATTTCCAGTTTAAAAAAAACACTGGATACGGAGACCACCTGGTTCCAGAGACCACGTTCTCTTGAGCGGTAGACAGGTTAGACAGGTTTCACTGTACATGTACTGGATCTCAGCTGATACAAAATACTCACCAGCTCCTAGCCAAGCTGATACAAAACACTCACCAGCTACTAGCCAAGCTGATACAAAACACTCACCAGCTACTAGCCAAGCTGATACAAAACACTCACCAGCTACTAGCCAAGCTGATACAAAACACTCACCAGCTACTAGCCAAGCTGATACAAAACACTCACCATCTCCTAGCCAAGCTGATACAAAACACTCACCAGCTACTAGCCAAGCTGATACAAAACACTCACCAGCTCCTAGCAAAGCTGATACAAAACACTCACCAGCTCCTAGCCAAGCTGATACAAAACACTCACCAGCTACTAGCCAAGCTGATACAAAACACTCACCAGCTCCTAGCCAAGCTGATACAAAACACTCACCAGCTACTAGCCAATCTGATACAAAACACTCACCAGCTACTAGCCAAGCTGATACAAAACACTCACCAGCTACTAGCCAAGCTGATACAAAACACTCACCAGCTACTAGCCAAGCTGATACAAAACACTCACCAGCTACTAGCCAAGCTGATACAAAACACTCACCAGCTCCTAGCCAAGCTGATACAAAACACTCACCAGCTCCTTGCCAAGCTGATACAAAACACTCACCAGCTACTAGCCAAGCTGGCAAACCTAACCTAGCTGAAGTCCAAAGAGAGCAGGGTAGGAAGAGGAGGGTCGAGCATGCAGCAGCAAGCAGAGAAAGAATAGAGGCCAGTAGGAACGAGCAGCACATTGGGCTGCAGAAATTAAATACAATGAAAGAAGCCAGTCAAAAAGCCAATGAGACAACTTAGACAAATTCTCAGATAGCGTACAGAGGTCTAGTCAGGATTTTATGCCAGCCGGCCAACGTTCTAGTTAAAATGCATCGTTCTGGGGGCTGTGCCCCCAGACCCCCCCCCCCCCCCCCCGTCAGTCATGTATCCACACAGACACACACACACACACACCACTACAAATCTTTCATTACAGCTTGCATCTCCTTTCGCTTCGTCCAATTATGGGCATTCATCAGGCAGTTGTGACAATGTGATTATAGGTAAATTAACAAAATATGAAAAAGGAAGCAAACAGCTACATGAGCATGGATCATGTGTTCACCAAGGTCATGTCTACATGCAGTGTACATTGGTCATCTGACAAGACCCAGCCTAGCCACAGCCGTGTACACCACCAGAAGCAGCTAACCATGACCCAACCTGTTAAATTTTACTGACGTACTCAAGTGCATACTCAAGTGCATTTGAGCTTAAGTGAAGAGCTAGCACTGAGCCTGAGTAGCCAGTGCTACGTACTGTACTGTACATACCTATGCCTAGGATATGGGTTGTACTCCACCAATGCACCATCTCGACTCAAGTGCTAGTGCAGTGCACTACAGTCTACATGGGTCAGCCGGCAGGTCGCCCTCCCAGCCGGCATTCTGCTGAGCCGGCTTTGGCTAGATCACTGGTGTATGAGAGATCTGTGGTAATGAAGAGCACAGGCAACACAGAGGTTGGCTTAGCCTAGTATAAGGTCACACGTTTTTACTTCTATGTTTCTCGTCACCCGCGCGTATTCGATTCTCGTCACCCGCGCGCATACGATTCAGGAGTCTGGAAGAGAAAAAAGACTGTGCTGCACTGTGGGGACCAGCACATGCACATATGCACCCTGGCCTGGCCTGCACGACACATGATGCAAAGTCAACCGGTTACTCCATGCAGTTTTTATTGCGCAATCTAGCTGCACGTGCACAGAAGCTCCTAACATGACTAGTTGCTAACTTTGGATGCTATTTTACACGGTGTATTGGTCAATTTTAGTATGAGCAAAGGTCTAGTACAAAAATTATTTTTCTGTCATTATTTTATTTTTTCCTTACGATTTTAGACTTTCGGGTGACGAGAAACATAGCAAAAAAGGCATGTTGCTAAATGTTCAAAAGGAAAGGAAACAGAAGTGCACCTGTTTTAGAGATCGATGAGAAAGTTTGGTAGTGGCATGTGACAGTTTGGCTATACTGCATGCGATAGTGCGCAAAGAGTACAATACTGGTGAGAAGTACGTGTAATATATATATATATACAAGGTCACAACATATTTCTACTCATACAGACTCTCCATTCACTATAGTTCTGTTTTCTACTTGTTGTCTTGGTAGATGCTACCATGATGATGCCTGGACAACAGAAAACGCAACAGTCAGTCCACACAGAGGGAGGTAGTGAGACTGATCAACAACTGTCCTCCAGCAGACATACAGCAACAGACAAACAAGCAACATCAGCTTTAGCAACAAGCAGTGCAACTAGTATGGGTACAACAATGAGTACTAGACTAACTACAGCTCAGGTTTCAAAAACATCATCACATTCAAGCAACTCATCTCTACCAGACCTGGACGAACACTTCACTGGCAGGGATGACATTGTTACAGAGATCAGTCGCAACATTCTCACAACAAAGTCCAAGTCATCATCTACACGAGTGCAGAGTCTTATGGCACCAGCTGGTTTTGGTAAGACGTCCGTAGCCATTGCTGTGGGACATGTATGTCGCAATGCTGGTTGTCGTGTGGAGTTCTTTGACTTACGCGGTGTAGCTGGTGTTGACACTGTCCAGGCAATGATTCAAAACCGACTCGAAACAAACCCGGCTTCATCTGAAACTACTGGCAAAGCAACGAAATCAACTGATGGCATGGATGATGATGGTGGCAAACATCACATGTTATGTATCCTAGACAATGCCGAGGATGCTTTGCAGGCTGGTGCTGATAAAGATCTCCAACTACAAGATGTCATCCAACGACTACTACGACAACAACACAACGCCCATGTCCTACTGACAAGTCGTGTTTACTTTGACCTACACGCTGCCCAGTTTAAACTACAACAACACCGTCTTGATGGTCTGACAAAGGTCTGTGCTGTTAGTCTTCTCCATGGTCTTTGTGTTGAAGGTAATGTGAGCATTGAAGATGCACAGAGGTTAGTGGATCGTTGTGGAAATGTCCCACTTGCTGTACGCATTACAGCTGGTCTTCTACAAGGTGGACGATTAACTCCAACCATGTTGTTATCGCTATTTCAGGAACTTGGTCTAGATGTGTTCAACGACGATGGTCTGAAACCGAATCATCGAATCCTGAAGCTGTTGGCATTAGCTTACAACACATTACAACAGGATGACAAGGAATCATTCCATGCTCTCTCTCAGCTGCGTTCATCGTTCACATCTGATTGCGCTTGTGGGATGGTGGGTTTGGCTGACACTAAGCCCAGTGTGGTTCATCTTGTACGTTTTGATCCTTTGATCAAGATTTGTTTCCTGGATTACAATGCGTATTTAAAACGCTACTCTTTGCAACCATTCATCGCCGAGTTTGGTCGTTATCAATGCCCTGAAGACAAGCAACGCCTATATCAACGGCGAATGTGCAAGCATTTCCTTAGTTTTGTGAAGGATGTTGATGGCTGCAGAGGTTGTGGTGCACACAAAGCAATGTATTGGAGTTTCCAACTGGTTCAGGAAAGCGTGAACATATGGAGTGCTTTTTCAGTTGTTGATCTATTGCCCGATGATGAACTTCTTCCTTTCTCTAGATTAGCGACATGTTCTGGTTTGTTTGTGGCTTTGGCTGGGAGAGCAACACTTGTTGCAGCGTTTGGAGACAGGGTTCGACGATTGCACAAGGCACCGCTATCCGTTCAAGTATTAGTTGACAGCCTTTGCGCCTCAGTCCTGTGTAGGATTACCAGTGCCGGTAAAGCAGCAGGTTCTGACATCAATTTTGACGATTTGGATCTCGAAGCCCAAAAGCTTCTGGAGAGATGTAAGCAGGAACAAACAGGAGAGCAGTCACAGCTGCAGCTGGCATTGATCCAACTTTCTCTTGAGTCATGCAGGATATCCATATGTCGGGTTATGAACTGCTTTGAAGGAAAATCTGAGCTCAGCCATGAAACACTATCCCGTCTGCAGGTGGTGTACCAGCGTGTTACAACAACACTGAGAATGGGTCTTGCAACAGGTGTCACTGAATGTGCCCTGAAACTCATTCAACTGTATTGTTCCACTCTGCTAAACAAGGATATACTCAATGTACAGGTGGTAGAAGACCTTGCTGAGAGAGTAATCCCATCTCGCTTCCTATCACAAGATGGTGCAGTCCCTTCATGTGCTGGAATGGACTACTTTCTGCTACAATGCATTGTTGTGATCCTGGGCAAGGTCATGTCAAGTTCCTGTAGCAGTGAGTGGATTATTTCACCATCATTGATTACAACACTGGGTATACAAATGTGCAAGTGGAAACATGTACCAACTGCTATCAGGCGCGAGGTCAATGCCAATGACGACTATACCACATTGCCAGTTTTTCGGTTACAACGGTACCTGTACTCCATGGATAATGACACAGTAACCACACTACTGTACCTGTACTTGGGTGATACGTACAACACCCAGTACATATCCTCGGTAGTAAATGGAAGGGCACACACAACTCCAACGGGTCTCACTCTACCAGCACAGCATCCCTACAACATTGTGATGGACTATGTCAGGAGATGGTGTAATGGCTCAAATCCAGCAGATCACACAACAGCACTAATTAACAACTGTAGCCAGAACAAGATACCTGATTTGGAAGTGATGCAGTCTTGTATACTGATGGCTAGAGCACTGCTCGATATTGAGGTAAGCTGGTACATGCAGTTTCAGTGGTATGCTCAAGTTACCCCAGTTTTCATCCACACTCCACACTCCATTCTGAAAGAACCCAGTGTACTGCAACCCAGTGTACTCAGTAATGATCTACTGTATAGTGTATGTCTCACTGAACCTCATTACTTGCTGAACACACAGGAGAATGTGAAAACTTCTAAGACATGGTAACTATGGAAATGGAATGCGTTTCTTTTTGCTATATCAGCCTGATTTGTACTTATTGTGCGATGTGTAGTCTATTTCGATTGTATGGGCTTCAGTTACGTTCTCTCTACGCTGTCGTTTGTTGTGTGTTTTGCTGTAGAATACGGTCTTTACAACTGTCGATAGTTCCAAACTCTTCCCGGCGTTGAAGTCATTGGTTAATGATCTCAGTGCTTGCCTGCCAAGCAATTGTGCAACTGGTCTCTCAGTGTCTGGAATTGTGCACTTACCACCACAAGCTGGAGACCTTTCTCTACTATACATCTCTATCCTTGCTGTCCTACGTCATCAATCCAAGAGACGCCAAGTGAGCATTGATCACCACATTGCACTACTGGAATGGTGTCCACGTGTAGCAGCATGTTTTGTCTGCTATGACCTGGACAACATCACAGCATGTCCTCGTTGTGGCATGGCTTACCTGTGTGGCAAACATCGTCTAACTGATGAACACCTAAGTGAACACAACCAACACTGTGCTATGCTGGCAGCACTCAGACATCGCATGTCGCAGTAAGTTAAGAGTGCTGTCTTCGGCTCACATGAGTGTAGTGAACCACAGCTGTGTCTGTGGAAGGCGCAGGCTTACACGGTGGTACTTGCGCCAGATCTTTGGTTTTGGCTAGGTCACAACATGGTTTGTTTGAATCGTCTATGTCTGCATTGCCAATTATGGGACCCTGGTTCCAAGTAACCCTGTGGCAATGGCTTCATGGGACAGTTGTCTGGTGTGCACATGTGTGTGCACGTGTGTGTGTGTGTGTATGTGTGTGTGTGTGTGTGTGTGTGTGTGCCAGCTAGTTCGGTTGGTAGGTACACTTATGCCTGATCGTGTTGGGTCTGTTGCCAACAGGCTCGGCTGCTTGAAGGTGTAATGTTGTACCTGCCACCTTTGTTGGTTCCAGGGTTCATATACTTTCTATTTGAAGTATACATACCTGTTAGCCATGGACTGCTTCTGGCTAGATTAACTCTTGTGTAATCAATGGTGCTAGGGAAGCTTTTATCAGATCCACTCTGATTTTGCCACTCACACTAGTAGCAAATATTACCTTCGCCGGGGCAGGGGTAACTGCAGTTGGATCCCGGGATGGATACCCTGATGCCGTCAATCCTTTTTCTGCACCTTGACCTCACCCACTTACTGAGGTGTGTGAGCCCATAAGTGGGGTCATTTTCAAGTCCACCCAGAGTTTTGGGGATTTCAGGGGGTGTCGGCCGTTGGGTGGTTCAATGACCAATTGAGTCATCTTTCCAAGATTCCTTTTGAGTGTCTCTCCCCTCTCCCAGGGGGTGGGGGGACTCACGTGACCAGTTTTGGCAGTGAGCAACAAGTACAGTACAATACAGTATGTGTGTGTGTGTGTGTGTGCGTGTGCAAGTTTCTGTGTGTGTCTGTGTGTGCATGTGTGTGTGCCCTTCATCGCCACTCGCGGAGGTTTGACAAGCCCCCGAGTGGATTCCATCACGCGCCATGGAATTTGTTGAAGAGAGGAGAGAGAGAAGGAGACGCCATCTGTTGCACTTTGGATGCTGGAATGTCAGGTCCCTGGTGGAGCGAGACGGAGCCATTGAGACGGCAAGCGTTTCTGGCCGAGTAGTTGAAAACAAAAAAATAAATCGTGTTGTGGCGGAACTACGGAGATTTGATATCGCCGCAGCAGGCCTGCAGGAGACTCACTGGTTTGGACAGGAAAGCTACGTCGTAGACGGTTTCACTATCCTCAGCTCTGGCCGTCCATCTCCTGGCGCAGACGACTCTCGCCGCCGAGGAGAAGGAGTCGCAATTGTTTTGGATCGTTGCGCTGCGAGCGCGTGGAGAGCTGGTGGCTGCGTCTGGAAGGCGGTGAGTTCTCGCGTTGTATCTGCCCGCCTACAGTTCGCCCTCGTTGATGGGTCAGCTAGGAGTTTCACTCTGGTTTGTGCCTACACCCCGACTTATGCGGCTAGTCGCACTGTGAAAGAAAAATTCTTTGACGATGTCCAAAGTGTATTGTAGGACGTTCCACCATCTGATTGTTGTATCGTACTTGGGGATTTCAACGCACGGGTCGGTTCAGGCCAAAGGGGCGATGAGTGGTCCGATGTGCGAGGCACTCACGGGTATAACACCATGAATGCATCAGGAGCTGAGCTACTGTCCTTTGCTGCTTTCAATCAACTGTGTATATGCAACACCTGGTTCCCTAAATGGAACATTTTCAAACACACCTGGCACTGCATAGATTTCATACTTGTGCGGCAAGACGACCGCCATCTATGCACCGATGTGGCCGTCATCCGGAGTGCTGAATGCGGCAGCGACCACCAACTGCTATATATGGTTCTGCAGCTTTCATCGCCGGTGCGGCGCGGGGCGCAGAGCAAGGATAGTGTCCGGCGCCGGTTTGAAGTTGCACAGCTAAAGGATCGTCGCACGTCTTCCCCTGAAGATCCTACGCCTACCGATATCTACCAGGCAGTGATCAAGGAGGAGATCGACCACAACTGGCTCGAGAATGCCAACATTAGTGAGAAATGGTCCTCTATCAAGTCCACCCTTGACACTGCTGCATCCACAGCCCTTGGATTTTCCAAACGGCGTCAGCCGCACTGATTCCAGGAAGCCCTGCCAAACATCCAACACCTACTGGACACGCGGAATGCAGCCTATGAGGATTGGCTTCGCCGTGGCCAGCAGCGAAACACTCCGTTTCATCAGGAGTTTAAGGCAGCCCGCTCGAACACACGCGCAGCAATCGACACGGCCAGAGTGGACTGGATCAAATCTAAAGCTCAGGCGGCCACCGACGCCCGTTTCAATGGCGCTGTCGTGTGGAAATGTATCCATGACCTCCAGTCTGCTGGGCGCGGCCTTCAACCACTACGGACAGCAGCGATCGTTGACGAGAACGGAAATATATGCACGTCACCGCGTGAGCAGGGACAGCGCTGGGGAAGGCACTTCTCTGGAGTGCTCAACGTCATGATCACTTGGACACCGAACGCGCTGAATGGTATCCCTCAACTACCGCTTGCCGAAGACCTCGCTGAACCTCCCACGCTGCGCGAAGTGTGCCGCGCCGTTGCTCGCTTGAAGAATGGCAAGGCTGCTGGAGCCTCGGGCGTCTTGCAGGAGATGGTGAAGGCAGGGGGTGAGTCGCTGAACAACAAGCTTGTGGAGCTATTCGGAGATGTGTGGCGTGCCGGCCAAGTGCCGCAGGAGTGGGTAGACGCTACCCTAGTGCCAATTCCGAAGAAAGGGACCTGACCCGATGCGACAACTGGCGTGGCATCGCGCTGCTCGATGTTGTCGGCAAGGTCCTGGCGAGTCTCATTCAGACGAGACTCCAGGGCCTGGCCAGCAGCTTCCTCCCGGAATCACAATGCGGCTTTCGGCGAGGCAGATCCTGCACGGACATGGTGTTCGGCGTACGTCAGCTGCTCGAGAAGTCCATCGAGCATACAGCCAAGGGTTTCTTCGTCTTCTTTGACCTGAAGAAGGCCTACGACTCCGTGCCCCGTGAGTGCTCTCCCGTGCTGGTGTCCCTCCCCCCATGCTTGCAGTCATCCGGTCTTTCTACCATGAGATGTCTGTAGTAGTGCGCGTGAGTGGCACAGACGTGGATCCGTTTAGCGTCACCAACGGCTTGCGGCAAGGCTGCACAATGGCTCCTGTCCTCTTCAACATCTTCATGTGGGCAGTAGTCACCAAGTGGCAACAGAGGGTCAGAGGTATTCCTGGAGTTGGTTTCGAGTTCAGCTACCACTATGGTGAGGGTCAACTATATCGCAAGGCACGCCGGGCTGACACCGCTGTCACCGCCCTAGAGGCACAGTTCGCGGACAAATCCTCCCTGTTTGCAACATCGCGTGCTGGTGCTGAGATTGCCTTGGACCTGTTCAACTCGACCGCTTCGGAGTTCGGCCTCACCGTGTGCGCGACCAAAACCAAGTTCTTGGTTGCGGGAGCTGGCGTCACGGCTGCGGACCAGGCGCCCATACAGCTGGCCGGTGTGGACATTGAGTGTGTGCCGGAGTTCAAGTACCTGGGGTGTATCATCCACTGTGGCGGCCGATCTTCGCAGGATATCAGCGCTCGGGTGGCAAGTGCGTCCCGGGCTTGTGGTGCTCTGCAGCAATCTGTTTTCAGGAACAAGAACTTAGATACGAACTTAGAAGTTGCGACTTCGGCGGTAATGTCATGAAGTTGGTTGCTCCAACGAGGAGCACACGCTTCTTGCCGAACTTGACACTTGACTGACTCACGACTGCCATCCGGAGCACACCAGGAGCACGTCGCACCTTCCGCTCGGCAAACCTGAAAGAAAGCACCACTCCCTGCTCAATACACAGTGTTTCGGGGAATTCACCCCTCATCAGGGAGTGGTGCTTTCTTTCAGGTTTGCCGAGCGGAAGGTGCGACGTGCTCCTGGTGTGCTCCGGATGGCAGTCGTGAGTCAGTCAAGTGTCAAGTTCGGCAAGAAGCGTGTGCTCCTCGTTGGAGCAACCAACTTTAAGAACTTAGATCTTCATATTAAACGCTGTGTGTTTAATGCTTGTGTCCTGTCTCTGCTCCTGTATGGGTCCGAGAGCTGGACGCCGCTGAAGCAGGACCTCCGTCGCATGTCTGTCTTCCACATGCGATGCGTGCGGTCAATATTGGGCATCACACGCCATCGTTGCTGGGATGACAACATATCCAACAACCAGCTGCTTGAGTGGTGGGGTGACTCTGAAACCATCGTCACCAAGGTTCAGCATCGGTGCCTCGAGTGGCTAGGCCATGTCGCCCGCATGGACGACGTGCGATTGCCCAAACAGTTGCTGTTCGGCACCCTGCCATCTCGTCGCCCGGCACATGGCCCACGTCGGCGGTGGAAAGACTGCGCTGTAAAGGACCTTCGCTCCCGAGACCTTGAAGCGGACTGGTACAGAGTGGCCTGTGACTCTCGCCCAGACTGGAGGTTGGCTTACACCTCTGATGCCCCGGATCCCCTCGTACCGGCACCGGTGACTTGTTTCACATGCGCCCGGCACTTCGCACGTCAGGGTGACCTCGCTAGGCACAAGTGCACGGCTGAACGGCAGAAGCCGGTTTCGGAGCAGAGAGGTGCATGTCAGTGCCCTCGGTGTCATCGTTGGTTCCGGAGCCGCGGAGGCTTGGCTGTGCATCGTTGCTCCGCTTCTACCTCGTGCCCAGTACCGACCGAACCAGCTGCTATTGTCACCGGTGACACTATCGCTCGGAGGTGCTGCAATGCTCACTGTGGCACCTGCATTCGTTGTTTCCGCTCAACCCAGGGACGCAACCGCCATCGCTGTTCAACGCACTGCCACCGACCAACGGCCAGAGAATGGGACAAGTTCCCGCATATGTGTATCTGCTCTCGCCGGTTCCGACTAGTCTCGCATCTGGAGCGCCATCGGGTGGCGTGCTCTTTCTCTCTCTCTCTGCTGCCCCTCCGGGGCCCACGTGACCCTAGTGGTAGTGGCTCTACAGGACAGGACAGGACAGGTGTGTGTGTGCGTGTGTGTGTGTGTGTGTGTGTGTGTGTGTGTGCGCGCGCGCGCGTGCGTGCGTGTTCGTGTGTATGTGTGTGCGTGTACATATAATGTGCATCTTCAAGAGTGGGTGATTGTGTGCTTGTACCATTGAGTTCCGTTGGTGGGTGCACTCACAGAAGAACGTTCCTGTCCCAGGACCATATACTCCCTATAATCTGAGTTTGCAATGTGCAGCCCACACTAGTATCAAGCATTAACTTCACTGGGGCAGGGTACATGCAGGTGGAACTCGAGACGCGGATCCCCTCATGCCAACCTCTTTCTTCACCTTGGTCTCACGGGCCCGCTTTTTGCGATGTGAGTGAGATCATATCCAGCTCCAGCCAGAGTTTAGGGATTGCAAGGTGTGTTGGCTGTTGGGTGGGGCAATAACCAATGGAGTCACTTTTGTAGGACTCCTTTCTTGTATCTTTCTATCCTTTCCCGGAGAGACTAACATGGCCATTCCATGCCATTCGCATCTCTTAAAGGAGTTCACAGGTTTCAGAGTTGTCATTGTGTGTGTTTTATGTGTGGACTTGTGTACATGTCCGCTGTGTGCGCATCTGCATGCATGCATGTGTGTTTGTGTGCCGACATGTACGTGTGTTCTGTGTATGTGTGCACATGCATGCATGTGTGTGCGTGTGTGCGTGTGTGTGTGTGTGTGTGCGTGTGTGTGTGTGTGCGTGTGTGTGTGCGTGTGTGTGCGTGTGTGTACATGTGATTCCCCCGTTGTACACTCTACAGGGCTAGCTGAGCTTCTGAAGATCTCTAGTGGATAGTGTTTAGCGGTTGAGATTGGTGAAAGTGACCAGCACTGGACAGGGATCATTTCAAGAAGCTACTGCAGTAAGAGATACTCCAACAGCACACTACCTGTCATTGATCACAACACTGTGACATCACTTGTATAGACATGATGTATACAGATTGTCTATGACACAAACTGTTGTGTTACTATGTAGATATAATGATCAACTGAACTACATGTACTGTCTAGTCCAGTCTACTACAGTATCAGTTTTAATGAACGTTAGCGCATGCGGTGTATTCTGCATTGCCCAACAGAGTCTCTTGCGCGCTCGCTGCAAGTATTCGAAGTCCACAGTTCCCGATTTCCTTTCTTGTTGTGTCTGCACTTACAGTGGATTTCTTTCTCAACCCACACACTCACCCATCCACCCATCCATTCCACTTTTGTGATCATGACCGTTATTTGTTCATATTGAAGAAAGTTGAGACTTGACTTTTCACACAGTCATGTATGTATGTACCAGTACCTGTGTCGTCTCGGAAGGTTGAGAACGAACTGCCTCTTCTATCCTCGCCACGCCACACCTCAAAACGAACTAGTCAGTGGTTTTTCTCTAGAGCTAGAGAGAGAGCTTTTCATAGTTTACTTCAAGCGGCGACGGAAGAACTCATAATGGAGAACTAACACTGACAACGAATGACTGACGACTGTCAACAAACGTCTGACTCTGACAACGAATGACTGACAACTGACGACGAACGTCGGACAACTGACTCTGACAACGAACGTCTGACAACTGACGACGACCGTCGGACAACTGACGACGACATGGCAAAAGGAAAACATGATATCAGAAATTGGTGCCCTCGTCAGCACAAAAAGGTGGTGTACTCAGCACAAAAATGTGCACGTGTCAACAACAAAGCAGCGCAGCAGCATGTACAGGTCAGCAACAAAGCAGCGCAGCAGCATGTACGGGTCAGCAGCACAGAGACACAAATACAGCAGCAGCTACGACGAAGAGACAACACGTGCAGCCACATGTACACACAGAGACACAAATACAGCAGCAGCTACGACGAAGAGATAACACGTGCAGGCGCAGGTACAACACTATCCCCTACCAAAAAAAGACATCCACTCCTGTGGATGGAAGCAAAAGTGAAGTGTATAAAAAACGGAAGGAGACAGACCGGAGAAGAAGACAGAAAGACAGGGGAAATGAAATATGAAGCAACATAAACAGGCGACAATAAAACACAAAAGAGGTGGGCCACAACTGTTGAACGCATGACGAGTAGGCCAGGAGGGTTAACACCAGTCGGGAGCCCCGCAAAACTGTGCACCAATCAACGGAACCTGCAAGCAACAGATTTTGCAAAGGACCCCGGCTGGCGAGCTGTTCGACCTGTGTTTGTCCCTTTGGATCTTTTATTCTTAGAACAGCACCAACCTAGTACGCCACCCATCCACCAGTCATGACAAAACAAAAGTACAAATGCATGAGAAAACAGGTTATGCCGACGGACCCAGCGACGCTTCCAGGAGCGGCGAGACCGACAGTACGCACCGACCGAGAAGACTGGGGCAGCAGGACGCACACTGGCCGGCTGTCCGAAAACCGATGGCGCTACAGAAACTCCGAGAATCACAGGACACACACAGAAAGAGAGAAGGACTGACGCAAACATCTCAGCCATCACCAAAAATCAGTAAAGCACACGAAGGAAGGGAAGAACAGCCAGGAAGAACACGTCGATTGAAACAGGAACAATTAATCAGTGAGGACACCATTGAGGACACACAAACAAATCGGTTACCAATACGCAAAAGATAATGAAGAAAAACCACAGGGCGCTACCCTGAATAACCACAGGTCTCTAACCTGAAAAAACCCACAGGGATTGAACCTGAAAAAACCACAGGGATTGAACCTGAATAACACGGAACTTATAGTACATCCGCTCACAAAACCGAAAAACCGAAGAAAAAAAACTGTCCGGCACCGACTGGGACGCACAAGGGCCAGCCAGCAACACACGGAAACCATAACACCCGCAAGGCAAACCGATACAAAAAAGCGCAGGATCCCTGCAGACCACCAAGCAGACCGTGGCTCACCATGATCAGACGCCCACCCAGACGAACTAGAGAAACCCACATGCCGAAACACAATTATTACAAAACCATACGCTCACAAACAAAATTCAACCTGGATCAAGAACGAGAATCCTACATGAAGTTCACACCTCCCACCAAACCGGAAGCCAACAGCTTTCCTACTTTGTTGACAGTGCATGGCCGAGCCTGACAGTGACAATGCTCTACACCATGTACACAGAACATGGAGAAACTACTACTAAAACGGTAAAAACACGAAACAAAACAATATGGATCGACTACATACGAGGCAGCACCTCGAGAACGTTCAGGTGGACATCTAAACAAATCACGCGACACAGTCACACTATCGGAGCAGTCCGACGGCAACTCCGTGACAAGCACAAGTGCACAACACAAGACGAGATCAAAGCTACCCATGCTGAATGCACGACGAACATGCAAACACAAGTTCCAGATTCGAACGAGTAGCGCACGAACAGAAGTTTGAAATTTTCATACACAACAGTACAGTACAGGGTAGTCAGAGCGACACAACTAACACAACGGGGCGAACTTCCAACGAGCAGCAAGACTACACTACGAGTACACACTCGAACACGAGAGAACAAGGTTCCACGGAATTCCTGCAGGGACCCGAGTCACCCGACGCAAAACAATTATTTGAAAATTCGAAATCGAATACAAGGTACGGCAACATTGCAACACATTACGCAGAGCAGACAATTACAAAGGCATGCTCACCTGAGTAGGAGCTCCGAGGATCTAGGAAAGGGTTGAACAGACGCAGCAAAGCGGAGCCATGGCGAGAACGCGAAGAGGAAAACGAAAAACACCGGCCGGAGAGCGACGAGCTTCAGGGTCGTGGGTTCGATTAGTTGGGCGCCAAATGTCGTCTCGGAAGGTTGAGAACGAACTGCCTCTTCTATCCTCGCCACGCCACACCTCAAAACGAACTAGTCAGTGGTTTTTCTCTAGAGCTAGAGAGAGAGCTTTTCATAGTTTACTTCAAGCGGCGACGGAAGAACTCATAATGGAGAACTAACACTGACAACGAATGACTGACGACTGTCAACAAACGTCTGACTCTGACAACGAATGACTGACAACTGACGACGAACGTCGGACAACTGACTCTGACAACGAACGTCTGACAACTGACGACGACCGTCGGACAACTGACGACGACATGGCAAAAGGAAAACATGATATCAGAAATTGGTGCCCTCGTCAGCACAAAAAGGTGGTGTACTCAGCACAAAAATGTGCACGTGTCAACAACAAAGCAGCGCAGCAGCATGTACAGGTCAGCAACAAAGCAGCGCAGCAGCATGTACGGGTCAGCAGCACAGAGACACAAATACAGCAGCAGCTACGACGAAGAGACAACACGTGCAGCCACATGTACACACAGAGACACAAATACAGCAGCAGCTACGACGAAGAGATAACACGTGCAGGCGCAGGTACAACACCTGCCTACACATGTGTTCATGCATAACTACCAGATATTGCTATGATCAATGCTTGCTAACACTGTGCAGCTCCCCAAGCTAAAACCAAGGTGTGTGCCTACACTCTAGTAGCATGCATCCATCTGCATTGTGCACATGCGTACAATTATATTATCCTCTGGCTTGCAGTGTCCCTCGTTCTCTGGCTCTTGCGCAGATGCTGCCATTTTTAGTCCCCGGCCCCACCTCCCGGCAATATTTGTAACGCTGTCACACTCGTATCGGAGCCCCAGCCAACCATTTTGACTTTTGTCGGCTATTTGTTACGCATACTGGAAATCAGGACTATAATGAATACTGTAATGTCGCGTATAATAGCAGGTGCGTACGGCCGTATAAGCCGGGATTCAAACCATGCTTCTATTCAAGTTATGCTTACATTCGAAACATGCTTCTATGTCAACATCTTCAGTTTACACTGTGCAGTGCACATTGTCACGCACCTGTATGTAGTGTGCAAGTACATGATACATGCATGCTTTTATTCAAATCATGCTTCTGTGTCATGGAACGCTTCGTAAAATCGGCTTCTGTTCGAGTCATGCTTTTATACGCCGCGACACTACAGTATGAACAGCTCGCATATTGCTCAGAATTGAGCTCTACGCATCGGTGAGTGAAAAGGTTCCATTTGCCAAAAATGTTGTATGCAAAAAATTCCGTACATTCCACCTAAAACTTACTCACATGCAAAATATTCAGGAGCAAACTGCTACCCTACTACCCGCTCTTATTACGTGTAACACCCGTACCCTACTACCCGAAGACTCTCCTATTTAAAATGATTCAAGTTTTGCGCCTCCTAGGCATACAAAATATTCCCGATTCACTCATACAGTGTTATTGTCTCAGTTGATGTGTGCTCATTCATTTTGGCTTTTAACCAGGGAGTCGTAAAATACCGGTAATTTTGGACTCCCTGTTTGTAACATATAAAATAATTTTGAAAGGGCAGTCGTCTGTAGCCAGCCTATTGCATGCAAACCTACCCAGTCTGATACTTTCTGTCACCATCCGAGTCATTAGCAGACAGTCTGTCTGGTCACCCTACCGACAATAGGCCAACATTATAATTAGGGCTCAAACGGTCACGGTTTTACCCCCAACGGTTAACTGCTAAGCTAACGGTCGGCTTAACGGTTATAACCTATAAGCCACGGCAATCCTGCGGACTCTTTTTTAACCGTATATTTGACTATACTTCTTCAAAAAATGTACCCTATTCAGTACAACGCACACATGATTGTATATTCTCTTGCATGCTCATTCATACATACTCTCACACGAAGAGACCAGATATGACCGAGTTGACAGCCCAGAAATTGCGTACGCGTGCGACAGCCTGCATACTTTGCAACGACCTGATACTTGAAAAATTGACTGAAAAGTTACTGCGTATTAACCGTTATCTTTATCGGTTAACCGTTAATTCTTCGTAACCGGTCTGCAACCGGTTAATCGGACTAACCGTTTGAGCCCTAATTATAATAAACATATATGGAATCCAACCACGTGAATCAAGTAGAGTGCTTTGCTGCTCAAAGAAATCCGATCATGCAAGTCACGTACGTACCAGCCTCCCAGGCATTATGCAGCCCTAGACCTGCGAACACTGGGATGTTCACTGGTGAACGGTGCAAAGACTTTTAAAAGTGACTCCCTGTACTTCAGTGAGCAGTACATGTCCTAGTAGTAGTACTGTACATGCCAGTACAGGCCAGTACAGGGTGCTATGCAGCGCCAGACCAGACCTGTGTGAACACTGTGCTGCGCACAGGTGCAGGGCATTGACTTGAATCACGCAACCGAATTTCATCGAGCAGTAGCTAGCATTGTACATCCACTTCACCTGGCCGAATAAACCCTTGGCACAGGTCACTGAGGTCAGGTAAACACGGGTCGGTTCAGGTCGCGTCGGTGCACAGCAGGTAACCATGGCAACTGTGGCTGCGCAATGGTACAAGAAAAACTAGAGCAGCAAGACTAGGACAAGCTGAGAACCAAGACCATTCACAGCAAGACTAGGACAAACTGAGAACAAAGACCATTCACAGCAAAAAAAAGCTCTAACTCCGTTCCCTCCTCCATTCACTTTGTTGACTCTGATAACTTTTTATCGTGCATACTTTTCCCCGTAATCCCCAGTTATCTACCCCCCCCCCCTGCGTATTTTCTGTAATTTTTTTGTTTTTGTGGAGCGCTTGGGTTGCAATGAAATCGAGACTCTATGGTCGGTCAAGCTGCCCCTGCCTCTCCCCCACTCCTGCCATTCCATATGTCTCATCGCTGGCTTGCTGCTTTGTGCCGTCAAATGGTGTGGTTTTTTTTGTAAAACAAAAAAAAACAAAAAAAAACAAACAGGAAGGCTAGGACAAGCTGAGAACCAAGACCATTCACAGCAAGGATAGGACAAGCTGACAACAAAGACCATTCAGCTGCAATGCATAACAACTGTATCAAGCATCAAGCACAACAACACTGTGCTTACTGACTTGTTGTAAGAGTTTGTGTGTGAACGCTGTTCAACACGGTAGTTTCATCTGCTGCTCACAAACATACTGATTCACAGGATACTTGAAAAATAGGAGAAAATGATGTAAGTTTAGGACGGATGGATGAGTGAAAGCCTGCATTCAGCTCGCTCTGCTGCGAGAATGGGAAAACGTGATGAAAACAATAAAAAACAGCGTAGTGGCAGGTCACGGTATTTACTCCTGTAGAGCATACAGACCCGAGGCTGCCACACTATAATCAGTGCGACATCCGCGCTTGCACGTACAGTATGTATAAATACAAAAAAAGTTCA